AGTAGTAGTAGTAGTAGCAGCAATATGCAGCAGTAATGCTAGGTCGCACGCCCATAGTAGGACTGGTGTTTTCATGCATTTCAGTGTGAAAGCAATTTTCAGATTTGAGCAGCGAAAAATGGAATGCGCAAAAGAATGTGCGTTTAGCCACATCAAATGCCGGAATACTGGTAGGGCCGCGGAATTCGTCCATCATGCACCTGAGGGTGTCAGAAATCACAAAGTAGTTTTTGAAGGTTTGGGATACTTCTTCTGCTGCGGACGTCTTACACAAGCATTACACATAGGAAAGCAGAGAGGAATGCATTCGATCTGCTTGGATAAACTCGAAAGGTAAGGTACATCCCTGATCCCTGAAATTCCAATCTGAAGAAGTTGCTCCGAAATCTCTGCTGAAGAAGAAATTGTGCGAGTAGCGACATGAACTGCCGAAAAAACCGGCAGAACCGAGAAAGTCGTGCATACTTCAGCTGAGGGCGACAGAAACTTGAAATCAAAAGTACTTGTTGAAGATTTGGAATACTTCTATTGCTGCGGGCGTCCTTCGTAGGCATTTCGCATCGGAAAGCAAAGAGGAACCGCATTCGATCTGTTTAGGACAGGAACATCCTTGAGATTCCAATCTGAAGAAGTTGATCTGAAATCGCCGTTGAAGAAGAAATGGCGCGAATAGAAAAATCGAACTCGGTACACTTCTCGGGTTTGCGCGCCTGGGGCTACAACAATGGAAGAAGGCTGCTCCATCACCACACAAAGAACACCATGCATCCATCACCATGCAAACATCACCATGCATCCATCACGATAAAGAACGTCATCATCCCCCGCCTCCCACCCCCCTCACCCCGCCCCTTCCGTGCAAACTATCTCTGAAACGCCTGAAAACACCAGTTTTTCTACGGGAGTGTCTGGTGATGGTAGTAGTAGTCGTCGTCGTCGTAGTAGGAATAGTGGTAGGGTCTTCCGCTTGAGTGCGCTGATTACTCCTACAGTTTAATAGGCTACCGCATGACTCCCGCCAAGGTTGCGGAATCAGCAGAAGCACGGTGCAAGTGACGGGTGTAACGTGAAAGTCCTGCACGCCCTTGACATATGCAGCTGTCAACTTCGCACCAAGGTGGCCGTCCTGGAGGTTTGCGCAACAGCTCTTCTCTGCCACTTTTTCAGCAAGGGGCTGTGGGTGTGTGCCCCTTAAGCCGCCTCGCCCGAGAGATACTCAAAGTTTCGACCGCCAGCTGCAGCACGGTGCACGTTGATAGAAGGCCCCAAAATGCAGTTGGCCCCCTTGCCCTGCGGCGGTTGTATACAGCATTAGGTCAGATCAGTCGGCATGTGGCAGGCCTTGTATTCTGTACCAAGGGCACTTGCAACCAAGCGTACCATATCCTCATCCCATGTTGAAGCCAAAGCCAACATGCCTGGCAGAGCAGAAACTCGCACCATAGTTGGAGGAAGCCGGCGAGTTCCTACACCATCACGTGGCAACGTGCACCGGCAATCCGAGGCACTTGGGAAAGACGTCGTGGTGCCGGCTGTGCCAACCTCCGTTGCACGGAAACCCTGCGCGGCATCCTGCATCTTGAGGGCCGGGATTTTGAACCTGACAGGTGTCGTGACGCCTTCGAATTTGCTCTTCCAGGAGATGAAGCAAGAAAGTTCCACTTTCGGCAAGCATCCGTGGGATGGCCGGCGTGTTGCCCACATAGTACCCTGGATCAGGTGAGCCATACCATGCGAAATGGCTGCCTCATGGCGATGCGTGGATGATGTCGGTATCATGTTGCCGAAGCATCTCTGAAAAGGGTGTGTCATTGATCATAGTGCAGTAGCTGTCAAGAGCTCACAACAGCCCTACATGCCAGGCAGCCTCGAACAAGATCGTACAGCTCCTCATTTGCCAGCTTGCTTGCAACGCCTTTGGCCGCAGCCCGCGCCTGCACGCATGTTTGAAACCTCACGGCAGCGCAAGCACTTTGCCGACTGGGCCTCCTCCCAGGGGCGTGTGCTTGGGGCTCGGAGCAGTTGCAGCTGCCTTCGCCAAACATCCCCAGGAACATGTTGCGGCAAGTGTTAGACTTGGACATGCTTCAGGCACATCTTGAACTCCTGCTCGTAGTGCGATGCACACACAGGTCACTGGTGCCAGCCTTTGCACTAAGTGCAAGTGGTGAGGTTCCTGCGCATAGGCAACGATGTCACTGGGATTCGGCAATTAGGGACTTTGATGGCCGGCGGCCACAGCATCATAGGCTAAACAGCCTACTAGACAGCACAGAACTAGGTTTAGGCCGGGCACAAGGATTTGATGCGTCCAGTGGCTGCTGGGAAGCACTTCAGGGGTTTTCTACATGATGCTAAAGGAATTAAAGGAACCATTGAGCACTTCACCGAGCTCCGGCGGCTATAGGCTTGTGGTTCCCTGTTGCTTCCGCACAAGCATGGAAGAGTTGGGGAAATGCATGTGGGACATGCGGAAATTCACCGCAGCAGTGCGAGTGAACGTATGGGGATGTATGGAGCAAATGCTTTGGAATTTGCATAGATAACAAAGACATTAGCCACGGGCGACCGTCCGAACTGCATCTGGGCTAGGTCGCACAAGGGGTGTCACTTTTTGTGGATATCAATCTCATGGAGACCACCTCTCGCTAGGCTCGGCTCAAATTTCTGGACCTGAAGCACGGCTTTGTATCGCTTACCCCGCACCGGTCACCGGCCCCTCGGATGGTATGGTCTGCGTCTGCGTGTCTGCGTGGGGTGGGGTCGGACTCAAGTTCCACAATCGCCTGCGTGCACGAGACACCGTTGTTGGGCTTCGTTGGTGGTTGAGAGCAGGTCACTGCCCACCGATGTGCACAGTGTTGCTGTTGGCTGGCCTCCTCCGTTTTGGCTGCTTGTGGGGAGGGAGCTTTCAAGCAAACACTGTCCAACAAAGCTAAGCAGCTAAGCTTGACGGTGGAAGTGGATCAGCCGCAAGTGTCCACAAGTGATAAGAAGCTGGGCCGGTGAGGAAACGGAATTAGAAAACGCCAAGCCCTGTGCTGGAAGATTTGACTTCATCTATTTCGCTCTCTTCAATACCAAGAGCTGCAGCAATCTGACAACACAACAGGCATAATCGCATACACGCAGGTTCAGCCATGGGGTAACATTTATCAGGGCTATAGTCGCTAATGTCGGTCAACCAACTGTGATCAAGCGTGTGTGTGTGTGTGTGGGTGGGTGGGTGGGTGTGGGTGGGTGTGGGTGTGTGTGGGTGTGTGTGGGTGTGTGTGGGTGTGTGTGGGTGTGTGTGGGTGTGTGTGGGTGTGTGTGTGGTGTGTGTGTGGTGTGTGTGTGTGTGTGGTGTGTGTGTGTGTGTGTGTGTGGTGTGTGTGTGTGTGTGGTGTGTGTGTGTGTGTGTGTGTGGTGTGTGTGTGTGTGGTGTGTGTGTGTGTGTGTGTGTGTGTGT